AATGATGTTTGCCAAACATAATCACTTTGTCTAATGCACTGTTGTGAAGACTGGCAAAGCCTGCACAGTTTCAACCATAAATGCAACATGTTTTCAAGACTGAAAGTCACCAAGTAGAGCTTACTAATTCGTTCATCCTGACTGAATCGCGAGTCGTCGCCTTGACGAAGAGACCGTCTAAAAGGGGGAATCAGTTGCATACAGGTTGTGGAAGACGCTTTCTGCTTCGCGGAACATTGAGGCACAATGAAGCTGTCGCGACGAGGCGGTTGAGAGCTGTCAACTTTTGGAGATGTTTGGGAATGTATCTGTTTACCTATTTTCTGTGGAGGTGATCAAAGTTGCTAGGACGCACATATCGTTGTGGGAAAATTCTACTACCAGTCCTTCATCACCTTAAATCTCATATTACTAATTTACTGGTAGTCTCGAAACTATTTACATACGAGAAATAAATGAGATTCGACGGTATCCAGAGTCCGTCTACTTATTTAAATGAAGTAATATCTAACAAATCACCTACCGGTCGTGTGCTCCCAACTGCGAGCGAGGATATTTGTTGTGGGAACTTCCATTTCGTATGCAAGTGCATAGTGACGAGATTCGAAGGCCGATCTCATCGGAAGGCGACAGCTGATTAACGTTGTTTAACCGTCGTTTGGCTTTAATGCCACGCTTAGGCTGATGCAGTCCACGAGACATCCTCCCTCGCCTCAAGTGGAAACAGGCTGAACTTTTGTTCATCAATACACTTGACGAACATCATTAGAACTGGGACCAATTCTTTATAGAAATGTCCAATTAACACTAAGTCAAGTGAAACTCTAGTGACTATAGATTGATTTATATCTCTCTATCTATCTATAAATATATATATAATTATATATATATATATATATATATATAGATACTTAAGTAAAAGTTCCTTGACCAATATGAAAGAGAATTAGCCAGATCATTCTATATCAATCTATGTCTATACATTTTCGCTTTGAGTCATGGGTCTATAAAAGAGGTAAAGATAGTATGAGATGTATTCACCCAATTTCGTTTGTGGTGATGAAGGACTGGTAAAAGAAGAATTTTCCCACAATGATATGAGTTAAGTTTCCATTCAATTTCACATATCCTTGCTTTTCCAAAAGTTGTTCTCATCCAGGCACCAGTGGACTGCAGTTTCAACCTCGCATCGGTCTTATCAACACCCTCAGCAATGCTATGGGAAATTGAATGTAAACGTCAGCTCAACTCATATCATTGTGGGAAAATCCTTCTTCTATCAGTCCTTCATCACCTTAAACGAAATTGGGTGAATACATCTCATACTACTGATTTACTGGTAGTCACAAAAGTAATACTTAATTGGAAAAATAAAGGTAAAGATAGAACCGGATAGTCTTCTTGCCCTAGTGCTAACGTGAGACTTCTACAGGAATGAGACCCAGCTCTGGTGATGCTCAACGGCTGTCCTCTTCTCGCCAGGTCGACCTACGAATCTCTTCGTCATGCGCTTCCATAAAAAATGGAAGTCTCCGTTGCACTGTGATCTCAGCAGAGAAATCGAAACCCGTTTTTTTCGTATATACAACGAGTATGATTGCTTGTTTTTGCAAAGTTATGGCATCTGGACCAAAGATTAAACGAACCGACGTGCAAACCAATTTTCCATGTCATCTATTTCGGTTGAGTTCACTTTTAAAGCCGGTCAGGGAGGCCGAAATGTCGCCAAATACATGAGATCTAATCGCAATTAAAATCAGATTTCGGAGGATCTGCTGCAAGAAATGAAGACGCTATTTCGTCCACTTCATGGGGCTCGCAGGACGCTGAGCCAAAGACTTGTTCGCACAGTTCAGCAGTCTTCATTGCGCATCAATCCTCATCACGAACTCCTTCCAACCAACTTTCCCTTCGAAATGGTGGTTGCAACCTTCTACAAATTGCCTCGACCCCAAGAAGGTGTAAGTTTGTGCTAAAACCAGCACTGATCCCCCCGAATCAGGGCCCTATCAGCTCCTGTACAGACTGAGCCTTGTCATCTTCGCCAGAACGTCGCGCCCCTGCGGTTACCATGGCCACGTGAGGTCCATTTTGTGTGAGCTAACAGAGGCTTTGCTTGCCGTGAAAGCCATGTCCCTTCCGCAAGTTGAGGCTGTTCTGACGGCGTCTTGACGAGCCCTCCTTGCAAGTTGCAACAGCCTACGGCCCCGGGACCTGGTACCACTCGGAAGCAGAGGGTGAGGCGACATCCGGCCCTCAGACTAGACCTTCCCCCTCACCTCAGTTGGCCCGGCTTGGCTGCGTCAGCCGTGACTCACCTGTCTCGCATCGACTACCCCCGTAGTTGCCACGGCAATTGCAAGTCGGATAGCCCCTGGCTCCGGAACAGACGCCGTTGTTTGAGCAGGTCACGCCGATGCAGACGTCTGAGCAGGAGGGTTTTTTGGCAAAAAAAATGGTATTAGATCGAGGCCCTGAGAGCTCCGAGCCGAGGCTGCATTGGCTCGGTCGAGGAAAAAAAGTAAAAACTTTGAAGAAAAACTTGATTTCGAAGACTTTCTCGATAAAATATTGTGGCATGACTCTCCATTTCGAAGGAAAAGTTGGTTGGAAGGAATTCGTGATGTGGTCGCACCGGAAACCGAAACAGGATTGCCGCTTTGGGAAA